GCGGGGGCAGCCCCTGGCGCCCGCCTGCCCGGACCGGAGCGGGGACAGGTGGGGTAGGCATCTTGGGAGAGGAAGGGGTCCCAATCCTGCCTCTGCGGGGAAGGGCCCTGCTGGGCTGTGCCCGGGGCCAGGATTGGGGCCTCACAGCTGGGGACAGCACAGACGAGACCCCCGGCCCCTGCCCCATCTCACGCCTGCGCCTGCTGCCTTGCAAAGCTGTCACGGGCCGTGATTTATGGCCCTGGGGGGCGATGGAGCTGGGCGGGCGGCGGGGCGGGGGGGGAGCCACAGGCCAGGCTGGGCGCCGGCCGGCTCAGAGGCAGCAGCCCTCTTCCCCAGACCGCCTGACCCTGTGGCCCCGCACGCGGTAAGCCCTCACGTACGAGCTGCTTTAGGGGAGTCGAACCAGGGAAATGCACAGCCCCTGGCGCGGCTGGAGCCCCGTGTCCTCCCTGGGCAGGGTCACAGGGGCTGCCCCAGGCAGAGCCCGCCCAATGGGGCACGAAGCCAGGGCCTTGCAAGCTCCCCTGCCCTGGTCGGTCCTGCCCACGAGCCCGCCTGGTGCCCCCGGGTGTTGGGGCAGCTCATGGGGACGTAGCACGGGAGACCCCCAGACCCAGCCCGGGATGCTCAGGGCATGGGCCAGGTTAGCACCTAGCAGGGGCAGGGGGCCAGGCAACACCCCAATAGAAACAGGGGCTTGCTCAAATGAACCCTGCCAGGGAGGAGCTGGGGGGGGTCTGGACTTGAAGCCTTGGACCCAGCTGCAGCCGGTGTCTGGTCACCCAGTGCCGTCTGCCCGGGCCGGAGCGAGGCCGTTTGGCCCGGAGCTGGCACCAGGGCTCTGAATAGCAGGCCGTGTCTCCCAACATGGATGCACTTGGGACACGGGCGAACCCCAGGCTTGAGGCCGTGGCTGGGTGCAGGGAGCAGCCCTCAGTGCTGGGGACCATGGTCCCAGGCTGCATGGCGCAGCCCCGCTCCCGTCTCTCCGGAGACATCGAGGAACGCGGCCGGGTGTTTGCTCAGGACAAAAGCAGGCGGAGTGAGGGGGGTTGCTTGCAAAGCGGCTCCCGGGGGTCCCAGGCAGACATGGGGGGAGCTGGGCTCGCAAGCGCCTGAGCCAGGCTTGCAGCAGGGCAAGGAGCCCTGCCCTTCTCTGGCTGCCAGGGGCCC